GTGGACTTTAGACCCGTGTGAGGAACAGCAAGAGCCCCACCCTGAGTCACCCTGCCACATCAGAGAGCTGTGTGACCTTGGGCAAGTTCCAAGTCCTGTTGGGCTACTGTTTTCCTACCTGTGCAAGCTGATGAGATAAATTGTATAAGAGAAATGTTGTGTGTTGTATACCTGACACAAGCCAGGATATTTTTAACCATTTCATGTGTATGTGAAAGATGGACCATGAATAAGGGAGATCAAAGATTTGATGCCTTTGAAAAAAAAAAAAGAGTCCAGAATAAGAACTGCATAGTAAAGTGGACTGAGGGGCGGGGGGGACGACTGTATAACAATGTAAGAATTTTTTTTTCCAAAGAGAAAAGCGAATTGGGGGTGGGATAGGAGAGGCATGGAGAAAAAAGTGTATCAATGAATGAATGGAAATCCAAGTCCTCTATAAACTTTCATTAAAATCTCAGTTAAAAAAGGGAGATGAAGTGTGAATATTGTACCCACAAATAAAACCAACTCAGAAAAATTACAAAATATCTCCACCTCCTGACTAAAATGAACAAATTCATTACCAATCACAACCCCATCCTCACTCCATTCTTCCTATGATCTAGACATTCAATCATAAAAGCATACTTACTTTCTGAAAGCATCCAATCCAGAAGAGTCCCTTTTCCTTAAACCTGCCACAAAGTCATCTAACACAAGTCCAAATCCATCAAGTCCTTTCTAGCATCCCCTTACTCATATGGGCTGTCGCTCCAGCCACTTCCCCACACCCCAGTGTGTGTCCTGTGACATTGGCAGTACACAGGAAACATATGATTTGGATCTAAAAGATCCACGTTGAAGTCCTACTTCTGTCATGTATTAGCTGTGTGATCTTGGACAAATCAGTGAGTCCCTCCAAACTTCAATGCACTCAGCTACAAAACTGGAGTCATAGAAAAGGTATTCAATATAAGATATACAGAAACAGGATTGTGGCAGGTAGGAGCAGCAGTTAAGAGCATAATGGTGATGAGGGGGAAAAAATCTAACCAATAAATTGTCTCTCCATGTACAGGGTTTGGGACTTGATTGTTTTATTTTTAACTCGATTCTATCATTTACAATCTGCATGATTTTATGCTTAATAAATCAAGTTCCTCACCTGCAAAAGAGGGAACTAATAATCAGGGGAGGGAATTCTGTGATGGTTTAGAGGTAAGGAGTTGCACTACCAACTTAAAGGCAGTCAGTTTGAATCCATCACCTCCTTTTTTGGGAGAAAGATGGACAATTTCCTCTTGTGCCATTTATAGCCTCTGAAAACCCGCTAGAGGGTCAGCTATGAGTTGGTTCCAACTCGACAGCACTTCAATACACACACACACACACACACACACACACACACACACACAAGTCAGGGTACCTGCCACTTTTTTTAACCTGATTTGTTTTAGAAAAAAAATAATGCAGAATCACAAATATAAAACTACATGTAAAAAAGGAATATTCATAACAAGAAAAATCAAAACAAAAGGCAAACTTCAAAAAGTTGAAAATTGTACAGAAAAGAACACCTGACTTGGATGTAAAGGTTTAAGTGCTGCCATTTTTAGCTCTGTGATCCTGAGTGAGGCGGTGTTTATTGTTGTTGTTGTTAGGTGCCATAAGTCAGTACAATCCATATACAATAAGAGTGAGAAGAGAAAGGTAGTAGATAAAAGATAGGTAATGGGTAAAAGAGAATAGAGTTAAGCTTGTTGTTGTTAAGTGCTGTCAAGTCAAGGGCAACTCATAGCAACCCTATGAACAACCTTCCTCAACTCTGTCCTATCCTGTGCCATCCTCATCATCATTCTCACATTGGGGCCCATTGCTATTGTCACTGTTAGGGTTTTTCTTGTTTTATCTTGTTGGGGGTTTTCCTCTGTTTTGCTCATGGTCAACCTCTCCAAGCATGATGTCCCTCTCCAAGGAACAGCTTCTCCAAGCAATACGTCCTAAGTATGTGAGAGGAAGCTTCACCATCTTTGACTAGAAGGAGCACTCTGGCTGTACTTTTTCAAAGACATATCTGTTTGTCCTCTTGGCTGTCCATGGGATGTTCAGCACTCTTCTCCAGTATCACAATGCAAAGGCATCAATTTTCCTGTCATCCTTATTCATTGTCCAGCTTTCAGATGCATAGCAAGTGATCAAAAAGACCATAGCCTGAACCAGCTGTACCTCAGTCTTCAAACTGGCATCACTATTCCTAAGTATTTTGGAGAGGTCCCTGACAGCTAGATCTCAACAATTCTTGCAGGGATTCTACTATTATCACTGGTTGAGGGGAAGTCTTAATGAGGAGCCGCCAGAGAGGGAATGGTAGTCTCACTCGATAGAGGTTAAGATATCTGACTTCTGAAGTTTCACCAAGTCATAGAACAAAGTGAAGCTTTGTTGGATTCCCACTAAGGATTCTCTCAGGACCTTTTAAAAAAGTCTACATAAGTGAAGCTCTCGTGTTCAAACTTGATTAACTTCAGAGTAAACTCATCATTACTAGCAGTCTCGATATGTCAGAGGCGGCCGGCCCTCTCAGGTTGCCCTGCACTGAGGGTGTACTCAGGCAGTTACTGCGCTTCTAGGGCTCACTCAGGGAGGAAAACAACACAGAAGGAGCAATAAGTGGGATAGGGAAAGTTATGAATGGATGGAGTCCTGAGAAGAGTAGGTAAACCAGGGAAGAATGGGTTGCAAAAACTGGAGGGGTATCCTGGGATTACTAGAAGGATTGGGAATGCCTGATGAAGGTATTCACTTGTAATCTGGAAAGCCAAAGGAATCAACAGAATTGAGTTAAAATGATAGCAATGATTCTAAAATTTTAAGTTTCCAAAGAACCTCTCAGATGAGTCTTATCTCTTAGGTAACCTTTGTCAGCAGACAATCCCTAATTTCCCAAACGGCCAAAAGAAGGACTGTTAACATGAGTATGAAGTAGTTAAGGAGTCCCCTGTGTTATCCACCACTCAAGTAGAGTAAATTGTAATAGGATATGAGAGAGAGAAGATAAGGAAAATGTTCCTAGGAAGGAACTGTGAATATGATGTACCTGAGCCTGTTCCTAAAGGGTAAGGAATCTGTCTTATTCTTGATTTTATTCTCAGGGCCTTCACAGGACCTCTACAGTACCATTTTAACTTCCTGAAAGTACACGTGAAAATACTACTGAGAGATATTGCAATAAACTAGGTAGGCGAAGAATACTAAAAGTTTTAAAACTAAAAGGAAGGCTCTAAATGAAAACCACCCTGAAAAATCTGTTAGGATTCATTAACTTTGATAAAAGTGATAGGGTAAGGGAATGAGGAGAGTTGTGGCAGGACAGACAGGAGGAGGACAGGAAGTGAAGCAAATTAAGAGGTATTTCTAGTACAGCCATTCTGGAAGGCAGTTTTGCGCTTCCTCAAAAAGTTGAACATAGAAATTCCATATGACCCAGCTATTTCACTGCTTGGAATATACCCTGAGAAAGTGAGAACTGAGGCTCAAATGAAGATTTGTACATCAACGTTCACAAGCAGCATTATTCACCATCACAAGAACATGGAAACAGCCCAGATGTCCAGTCACAATCAAATAAATGGATTGAGAAATTATGGAAATTATTCATGCAGTGGAATACTATGCAGCACACAGGAGCAATGATACCTAACTTGGGAGGACTGGAGAGCATTATGCTGAGTCTCACAAGGACAAATATTGTCTAAAACCATTATTGTAGAAGGAGTATAAGAATCCAAGGTGGGGGGAAGCAAAGGGATGAATATGTGCGGGGTGGGGGAGATTAATCATGAGGTTGTACAATTTAATAAGGGGTGAGAGAAATTGAACGAATCTGATCCGGAAAACAATGTATTTGGATTTTCAAAATAAACTAGTATAATTTAAAAAAAGAGAGACATTTCTAATCCACAAGGGATGATAATGAGTTTGGATTCTCATGCAATTAAATTTCTGGTCACAGAAAAATTTCATCAAGTAGATCTCAAGAAAGGAATTTAAAAAAAAAAGGTTATTTAGAAATCAAGCAGAAATAGTCACTGACATAACAAAAGAATACAAATCCTACAATGGGCACCAGAGGGAAGAGTGATAAAACCGTGGAACTAAGAACCAAGTATGAAAAACACTTATGGAATATATAATGAAAAATTAAATATGTAATGAAAAGAAATACAGATGAAGGAAACTTAGATCCCACAGGTTTGGCCTTCAGGATCTAAAGGGTTATAATTCTGCAAGTTGCCACACTATTATTGCCTTCAAATGATTCAAAATTAATTTCATAAAACATACAGACAAATCTAAGGAACATGAACTGACAAGAACTCAACACACTTAGGTTGCTAGGAGGCTACAAACCTGTTCCGAGGGCTGGAAGACAAACAGAAGTGTACTGTCTCTCTTTAGTCTCCTGTAGAACTCTATAAACGGTTTTCCTCACGTCACTGCTCCCATTCACATGGATTATCTTCTGGCAATTTAAAGATCCACCTTGGGTAACTATAAAATCTTGA